GAATCTTTGCTCGAGGTAAGGGAAGCTAGGTTTTTCTGAGTTTTTGGTTTAAAGAGAGTTCTGAGAACTCCTTAGCTGTTTGATGTTTGGTGATTTTTGGTTGAGAATGATGAAATTAAGGTTTTCGGGGTTTCGGAGTAATAGTGAAAATTTGGGGTTTTGATGTTTTCATAGTTGCATGTTGAAAAAGAATTGATTTTTGGGTTGTTGGATGAAAATGGGGTGTTTTGGGTGGATTGCATGTGCTTGGATTTCTTGTTTTTGCAGGATTGTTGTTCAAAAATGGTGGAGGGATTGTGTTTGCTGTCACAAACGGCTGAGCCGTTTTGAACGGCTGAGCCCTTTGGGAGTTTCGTGAGAGTTAGATGATGTGCAGGTGAAGGAGAACCTGACTTTTGAGAAGTTGCCAGTAGTTGTAATTGATCGTAAGCTGAAGGAGTTGAGGGACAAGTCTATTGCTCTGGTGAAAGTATTGTGGGATGCAGCTACTGGTGAGGCTACTTGGGAGGTGGAGCAGCAGTGCAGGGTGCAGTATCCATTTCTTTTCCCAAGTAAGTTTGTTTTCGGGGACGAAAACTCTTGTTGTTGGGGAGATTGTGAGGCCCGCTTGTATTTTTTTTCCCTTTCCCCTATACTCATTTCTCATTTCCCATTCTCTCATCCACTCATACACCCTCAAACTCCTCCTACTCTTTGGCTGATTCTTCCTTCTTGGGTGAACTTAGGTGCTGAGTAGTTGGATTGCTAGCTGGAGTGTTCGGATTTCTTCCTTCTCCGTTCTCCATTTCTTTCAAGCTTTTCCTTCTCCATTCTCTCTTGCCCGGAGCTCGGAATCTTTGCTCGAGGTAAGGGAAGCTAGGTTTTTCTGAGTTTTTGGTTTAAAGAGAGTTCTGAGAACTCCTTAGCTGTTTGATGTTTGGTGATTTTTGGTTGAGAATGATGAAATTAAGGTTTTCGGGGTTTCGGAGTAATAGTGAAAATTTGGGGTTTTGATGTTTTCATAGTTGCATGTTGAAAAAGAATTGATTTTTGGGTTGTTGGATGAAAATGGGGTGTTTTGGGTGGATTGCATGTGCTTGGATTTCTTGTTTTTGCAGGATTGTTGTTCAAAAATGGTGGAGGGATTGTGTTTGCTGTCACAAACGGCTGAGCCGTTTTGAACGGCTGAGCCCTTTGGGAGTTTCGTGACAGGGAAGAGTTCCTAGAACCAAACGGCTGAGCCGTTTTAAGGCGCTGAGCACTTTGGGGGTAGAGAGCCACCTGGAACCAAATAGCTGAGCCGTTTTAAAGCGCTGAGCGCTTTGGGGGCAGAGAGCTAGAGGAGAATCTGTGGAGGTAAAACGCTGAGCGCTTTGGAGGCGCTGAGCGCCTTTGTGCTTTCAGAATTGGACTTTGTAGTCTTCATGAAAGTTGTAGCCTTGGATCTTAGCTTTCCAATGGCGCTGGAATCACCCAAAAAGGAGTTCTAGAACTCCAGATATGGTTGTTTTAGTGAAGAGGGGTCAAGCTGTCAGCATTGGTTAAGTTGTTTTAGGTGCTTAGGTTGATTGGTGTTGTTTGGGTGGGTAATTTTGCATGATTGATGAGTTGTAAACAAGACGGGTGAGTCGTATTATATGTTGTATGTTGCAAAATTATTGATCATGCTATTAATAATGTTTGAGTTGAATTAAAATAGGCGAATATGATGTGATGATTAGTGGATAATACTGTTGCTGATGTTGAGTTGTATCAGTTGTATATTGTCGTAAGTTATTATGTTGAGTTGTATCACTTGTACATTGTTGTAAGATGATATGTTGAGCTGTACAGTTGTGTTGTACTGTGTGTTGATATTGGATGTTGTAGGCCGAAAGGCTGAGGTGTTGTAGGCCGAAAGGCTGAGGTGTTGTAGGCCGAAAGGCTGAGGTGTTGTAGGCCGAAAGGCTGAGGTGTTGTAGGAGATCTCCGAGGTGATATGCGTGACGACGCATTTTGTGTGTATTGATAAACTGTGTGGTAATAACTGACAGGATGTTTATGGATGATATGTTGATGGTTGTAATTGCTGTTATTACTTAAAAATTTCCCTATATCTTGTTCTTTTTATACTAGCTTACCCTTGTTGTTTCCATGTGTTTGGACTGCGATAATCATACTTGTATGGGAGCAGAGCAGGGCTAGATTTGTGATAGGAGCAAGCTTTTGAAGGATCTACTTAGGGCTTGTATGTTAGACCACTTGGGTAGCTGGGAGGAAGTTTTACCGTTGGTTGAGTTCACCTACAACAACAGTTTTCATGCAAGCATTAGGACATGATTTTGTAGATGACAAGATAGGACACAGATCTTTCATTCATTTTGGTTTGTCTTTTTTGGGGATGAGAGCAATGTTTGTGTCGTTTAGTTGTGGAGGGAAAGTGATTTATCAGAATGTATGAAGAATAAGGTGCTTCTGAATTCACAAATACTGAATGGTCCATAGAAGATATCCTTCTCATCGTGGGTTACGTGAGATGTTATATATGCTTTATTACATAGACCCCTTAACTTTTCAAAACAATTTTTCTCTCTTATACCTCTTCTTTTAATTTATTTTTTATTTATTTTTCTCTACTTTTCTTCAATTTTCTTTTTTAAACTTTTCACATTTTTTAAATAACTATAATCGGCTCACACCCTCTTATTATTAATTACACACATTTTTAACTTCAATTGTTTTCATCATTTTTAAAAAAATTTAAATAAAAATATACAGAGATGTACATGATAATTTTTTACATTAGTAATAAATAATAAAGAAAATATTCTTATTTAATGTACACAGTTTATTAGTTAATTTTACTCTTTAATTACTCTCTTTTAAATTGCCTTAAATACCCCATTACTCTATGTAATGCACATACCCATTTTCTTTGTATGTCTCTCAGTCTTCTGTACGTTTCATTTTATTTTTAAAATACATGTAGAAATGCATGGAACGTCTCTCTTTCACCTAGTCATATATAATAAATATATATACCCATCCTAAAATACTAGTAATTTTAAATTCTTTCAACTAAAAGTTAAACACGTAGCTTTATAGGAAAAAAAAAAAAACAAAACAAACATGTACGGAAATTTTTGAAGATAAAAGTCTGCGTATTTACAAAATGTAAGGATGACAAGAATATTTCTAAATCTTTGTGCAATATTTTTCTACCAACTCCTCAACTCAAGTATAAAATATCTTTTTAGATTTTTAAGACGTTAAATATTTTAGATAAAATATATTTTTTACTCTCTTAAAATTTTTAAAACTCAGTTTTTGACTTAAAAAAAAATATAATTTTAGTTTTCTCTAATTTAAAAATACATTATTTTAATAAGTAAAAAAAAGTAGGTTATATAACACTTAAAAATAATTATAAAAACATTATCTAAATTACTGAGAACAAAAATAAATACATTTTTAAAATAGAGTGACTAAAATAGGACAAAACATTTTTGGTTTAGAATATAAATGGTTTATCATAAATAAAAAATATAATCTAATTTTAAAATTATTACAAATTTTAATATAAGTCATATATTCAAAAGTATTTATCATAAATTTTAATTATATAAAATAAATATTTATCTTATACATATATTACAAATGCCAAAATATTAATATAGTCCTATTTACTTATCTTTCTATATATCTTATTGCTTTTTCCTTTAAACTCTTAGGATATGTTTGATACAAAGATTTTTTTTACTTTTCCATGAATTTGAAGTTGAGAAAGTTAATATTTCATGTTTGATTTACTAATTAAAAAATAATGTTTTAATGAAACATTGTTTTGCTTGGTTAAATGAAAAGCTTTACTCTAATAAAACGTTATTTTATCTTTATTTTAGAGAAAATAGTGAAGTCTTCTAACCTTTACTTTTTTTTTAATATGTGAATCAATGAAATATCATAAGCTTTATATAAATAAGGTCGAAACCTCTTTGTAAACTTAAAAATTTAACTATTCTTTTAATTTGTCTCCTCTATTAAAATTCAAATAATAAAAAAATATTGAAGCTTGTAATGATTATATCAATTCTAATTTTAATTAGGAAATATATATTCTAACATAATATACATTAAAATTTTATAGAATTGCACAATCTAACAGAGAAAAATGAATATAGAAATGGTCCATCCACTGTATGTCACTTTACTTGGTGGTGCTAAACACCGTGGATTTATTATTTTGTTTGGAGGCTCTTCCTTTTATTACCCTTTTTCTCTGCTACCAAACACTCGACCTGAAAGACGTTGTGTGGCATTTGCTAATGAGAAACAGTATGAAGCTCTGGTCGTGCCAGTTATTTGCTTTTGCTGCTTAGGCGTGCTGCTTGTCAATTGTCATGAAGCTCTGTACGTAGCAATTGCTATAAGGCACACAATAAAAACAAAACACTTTACAGATCAAGCTACTTTTTCCCAAAAACTTGGAAAAAAGAAAGTTACAAGACATAAATAATTTCTTTTCTTTGCACAAGAGATTTAGGTTCCATCGTTTAAATTTTTTTACTTAAAAATATTGTAATAAAAAGTATAATTTATTTTCTATGTATTTGTTTATACTGTTTTTCATTTTAAAAAATAATTTTCTATTTCTTAAGAAACAAATCTTATACGTTTCTTGTGGATTTTCTTTTTTTACTTTTTTTTTTATGAGAAAAACAAACTAGCCCTTAATCATGTATAAACCGTTAGTAATTTTTCTTATATCAAGTTGGATTTTAATAAATAAATTAAATTTTATATTACTCATTGTAACGACCCGCCATGGTCTCTACACTTAGTGGAATGCATTTTGTGTGTATTGATAAACTGTGTGGTAATAACTGACAGGATGTTTATGGATGATATGTTGATGGTTGTAATTGCTGTTATTACTTAAAAATTTCCCTATATCTTGTTCTTTTTATACTAGCTTACCCTTGTTGTTTCCATGTGTTTGGACTGCAAAAAAATTTACATTGAAGTTAAACCATCTGAACAAAAATATAAAAGAAAAACAAGAAACTATTTGTGGCAGTCGAGGGAAGCTTTAGATAGCAGCAGTGGCTGAAACAAAGTTAAATTGATCGCTGGTTGGATTCATCTGGCCAATTATTCTCAGAGTCCTGCAAGTGAAGCAGGAGCTGCAAAGTTTGTAACCTCTAAGCTGTTCATCAAGGTTAAAGTTTATTTAATGTTACCTTACAAGGTATTAGCATCCTGATAACTACTGGGGAAGAGATTCTATCTAGAACCTTTCTAATTGTGAAGGACACCTATTCATCTGCAATTGCTTCTGCATGGCCACAGGTTCTAATCCACCAAGGAAACTCTTATTTGGGTCATTTCTCTAGATCTAACTTTCAAATTAACAAGACAAACTAACGTAAATGTAGCCATATAGCAAATGATAAAAACCTTATAAATCTTTTGTTTCATCAACATTTTACATGAAAAAAACAATAGAGTCGGTACCAAGGCGTAAAACCCTCATGAACAGAACAATAAAAAGAAAATTAAACATAAATTAGGATATTGATTTCTGACCATTGTCATTTATCTACTACCTATCAACTTGATCTGAGACAGAAGAACTGAGTATTCCAATTAATACAATAAAGTCAATGCAATTGCGGTTTGCGGATCAAGTCCCATGCCATATTTTTATTTCATAATGCAATTTCTAGATGACGCAAAATGTCTGGTATCAGTTTTGTGTTTTCTTTTTACTGTTCTCAGCTTCTCATCATATTAAGGTAGATTTTGTTGCACGGATCAACTGGTGAAACCAAAATGTACTACTTTAACTCCACAAGCAGTTCTAACTTCTATTCTATCCTATTCTTGAAATACACCATAGAAGAAAACTCATACGTTATCTACCAAATACTACCTATGGGTCCAAAATTGCCCAAGAGTAATAACAAAAATGGCCACCAAGTCTTTTTGAGGGCTGTTTGTTCCCACTTCCCAAGTTGAAATCCAACCCAAGCTGCTTTGCCAGCATTTTAGCCTACAATACCATCCCCTTCCCCACGCCAAGTTTTACACCTTCTTAACAGCAGCAAAACCAACAACAACGAGAAAAAAAAAAGTAATTTCCTCCATTCTCTTTCCATTAGAATTTTGAACCGTTTAATTACAACCTGGTTCCTACTTCACATATATGTGGTTGCAAAGATGAAAAATTTGATGGTGTGAATAGTTTTGAAGGGGAAAACACCTACACATATGTGAGTCAATAACACAAATAACCAAGAAGCTACATAGTGATTGATGGACATCCTCACAAGCCCTTTTATAATGTTACCTACAGCATTCACCATTTAAATATAAATTTAGTTCCATTTAACAATCAACAAACAGGCATCAACACCACAAAATTACCCATAATCAAAGGTTGGAAATAGAATTGGATATCTATGTTGGGTAGCTTTGAGAGAAAAAGAAGACTTACAGGGTCGAGGGCATTGGGTTGAGGGCCATAGTCAGCGGTAAGGAGAAAATAGGAAGCAGCAACAGTGGTGACAATGGTTAACCTTCTCACCAGTTTCTCCCGTTCTGAAATCAGAACGGCCCGTTATAGCTACTGGATCATTTTTTTTATATTTTTTTCTACGTTACACTCATCACATTGTTTCTCCCCCTTTTTTATCTTCTTATTTCTACTTGAATCAACTTTATTTTAATATCATAAATAAAAGGTTTACAAAAATTCACAAAAAAAGGCCTTAAAAAAGTTGAGACAGAGGATACTCTACATATACCCGAATGAAGATTTTTTTTCTTTCTTCTTCTGAAATACGGTGAAATATGGGAATTATTAGTAAAAAAAGTATTCCGTATCTTTATAAAAAAATAATAATAATAAAGTAAATGGTTGAAAGAGAATATTTGAAATATGGACGAAGTGGTTACATCTCATAGAAATAAAATAGTTCAATAATTATTAATAAAGAATCATTTTTATATTTATATGTAGGTATATATTTATTCATCAAAATTATACTCACTTATTTTTTTATATAAATTTATCTATATATATATTATCTTTATTTAAGTTTTTCATTGAATAGAAGTTAAATTAAACATATTTTTTTTTATCATTCTTTATTTTTAACATTGCCCTTATTTATATTTTTTAAACAAAAATTATTTAACTTTACACCTTTTATATATTGTGTAAAAAAAGTAAAGAATATAAAATAAATATATTTGATTTTTCTTTTCAAAATTGTTTTTAGAAAAAAGGTATATTTGAATTTAAATTTTGTTGATGAAAAATAAAAGTCAGAAGAAGGACATTATTAAAAGTAACTTATGTAACATTATAAATTTTAAATATTTAATTTGATTATATACGATATATGATTAATTATTGAATTGTTGTTAGTTGTCGTTTAACAGCTTTGGAGTTAAGGAATTCTGAGAGTTGAGTTAATTACCTCTGTGATAGTTAAGTAAAGATTAAGTTGGTTCAGTTTAAGAAATGGTATATAAGATTTTTCTTAAAACATAAATCTCATAAGTTCATGTTTAAAGAAACCTCAGGGAGAAGTCAGTGAGAAGTTCTTTGGAACTCGAGTGAATCTTCACCTTTCTAGACTAAAACCCTTTCTTCTCCTCCTTGTAGTTGATCAAAACTCGTTGAATGGGTGATTCGAAGCTTGCGGAACCTAGAAACCCCAAGTCAGAAGTCATACAAAGTTGATTCTTTTCTTCTCCTTTTCTTGGTTCAGATCAACAAGAGGTAAAGGAAACTATGTTTTGAACAATCTTGGATAAAATCACTAGATTCATAATTGGTAATGCTTAAACCCATGGGATGATGATCTATGAAGTTATGGTGTTCTTGAAGTTATGTACAAGTGGGATATGATGATTATTGAAATCCAATGGTTCCATGTTGTTTTTAATGATGGAAATAAGTTCTATATGTTGCACAAATGTTGAGTTACTTGTTGCTTGTTGGTTATTTGCTGAATTTTAGGTGGATTGAGCTAAAATGAGCTTTTGCCAAGTGCAGAACTCATCATTACACTAAACGTGTGATAATTGTCAAAAAAAATGCATACATATTTTTATTCAATTTAGGAAATTATTAATATATATTATGCCTCTAAATCTTGTTTTGGATCACAAAATACTTAGTCAAGGGATAATTTCATTTTAGAATTTATTTGTTTAAATATCAGGTATTTTTTATGTTTTTATTTGTTGAAATATCATAGAAGAAAAAAATTTGAAAACCTACAAGTCTCAAAAGGAATCATGGTTCCATGTTGCACAAAACTGTCACTCTAAGCTATGAAAATTTTCTCAGAGCTACCAAAAAATCCGCTCTAACCAAGCCAAGATACAGAGCAACATTGAAAGACTACACTAGTTTGCTTAGAGTAAGTAACATTGGTGCTCAAAGTGAGCATAATTCACATAGAGCTACCATAAATTTGTTTTGAGCAAGCCAAACAGATAGCAATCTTGAAAGTATACACATGGTTGCTCAGAACGAGCTACGGGGGCGCTCTAAGTGAGAAAAATTCGCTTAGAGCTACCATAAATTTGCTTTGAACAAGTAAAGACAGAGAACACCCTGGACACACTTACATGGTCGCTTAAAGCGAGCTACATAAGTGTTATGAACAACTAAATTAGATTCAAGAGCCCATAAAAAATTATTATAAATTTAGGGTTTCTAGAGGTGTCTATATCAATTTTCCAAGAGTAAAACATTCTTCTTAGCATAATTCTAAAGAGATTAGAGAGAGTTTTTGTAAGATCATCATTGTAATCACGAATCGCTCGAATGTCTTTGTAGTATTGTAATCCTTAGTCATGAGTGACTAAGTTCTTTACTATTAGAGATTGAGGTAGTTACTTGAACAATGTAATTTTCCTCCCATTTTTCATTCAATAAAGTATTTATTTAGTTAATTATTTTATTCACAAATTTAATGTTTGTTGTGACCCACTCAACCTCTTCATGATCTTATAATTTTTAATTAAGGTTGGGAAACTCTTTTTTTTTTTTAATTACGGCCTAGATAAAATGTTGAGGACATTAATTACCAAGGAATTGGGATAAATCTCATTAGTCAACTTTTGATCCTTGACCTTAATGTACGATTGTTTAACAAAAATTACCAAGAAATTAGGATTTTCCTTAAATAGCCTATGATTTTTCACCTAAGGAATTAGAATTTAAATACAATTGTGGGTTGTTGAATTAATTGTATAATTACAATGTTGAATAAAAAATAGTAAGATTTTACATAAGGATTGTTAGTGAATCAATCTTCGACCACTGTTATTATAAATTCAATTTTATCACAATTTATTATTTTATTATATATTTCTACTATATATATTTAAATATTTGTTCTTGAATAATTTTAATTTCTTATTAAATTACTTATTTAGTACAAAAATTACATTAAACAATTAGAAACTCAAATCCTAGTGGATTTGATACTCGAACTTTTGTCCTTATTACTACCATGGCAATTGGAATACTAGTCAAATGTGTATTAGTGTGCCTTCATTATGTCAGACATGACTCAAGTTAGGGGGTTCTTTATCTGATGGAAGACCTTGGGCCAAAGGCCCAACTACTAAAGTCATGGTAAGGAGCATACATAAGGGATTGACTAGCTTGGAGGATGGTGGGCTTTCTAGGCCCAAGCTACTCTTCACGTGGACCACTACATATTGAGGCTTGGCCTAGCAAAACATGTACATAGATTAGGACGATTTCATTGTATTCATTTTTCCTTGTATATTGGACGTTTTTTACCATAGGCTTTACATAACCAATATTGGTCTCATTTTCTTTGTCTTTTTATTTTAGGAATTATGGTATAGTTTATATTTTTACCTTGTATTTTAGGCCATGTAGTTTAGGACCTTTTAGGGTAGAGAGGACTTTACGTGCATTAGAATGTAATTTAGGTTTGCATTTCATTTGAATTTGAAGCATGCATGGAGGGTCACACCTAGGTGTCGTCCACATGCCTCAAATCCAAATGAAATGCTACTTAAATCACATTCCAAATGAACACAAGGTCCACGTGAGTGTGTGAGGCTTGTGTGTGACCGGCCAAGGCACCCAAATTTGAATTTCAAATTCAAATTTGGGCGGCTAGAGTTTAAAGTGACCATACCATGGTCTACTTTAAACCCTAGTTAGCCTAACTTCTCCTACAAGCTTCCCCACTTTTATAAATACCCTAAAACTTTGTAACTGGCCACTTTTTGATGATATATGAATTTTTATCCAAAAAATTCCCTCAAAGAGTCTCTAGAATCCGAAGAGAAATTCTCCCTCCTTAAGCACCTTCACAAAGGATTCATTCCTTTGTGCTTTGGAGTTTCAAACTCCTTTAAGAAAGAGATGAATCAGCCACTATTCCAGCACCATTCCTCACGCTTTATAGAGTCATTTGTATCCATTGGAGCCTCAAAGAAACTTGTGTGGACTTGGAGGAAGCAAGGAGAAGAAGAATCAACACTTCTTCATGCTTGTTTCATCACTATCCTAATCATGTCGGACGTGGATTGGTAGCATCAGGTGTGGATCAGTAAGTAGTCCTCTAACTTAGTCATGCTGAGCATGAAATGAGAGGCACTAGACGTGAGAACTCAAGAATTCCCTGACTTGGTGACGTTGAGCCCTAGAGGTGTGGTGCCCAACGTGATCAAGCCAGAAAATCACTACCTAAATGATGCCAAACATAGGTTAATTGACGTCGGACATGAGTTAACTAGAAACTTTCTACCTAATTGAGGTTGGACATGGTTTTGCCACTCTAAATGCGAGTGATTTAGAGGTTCTCTATCTCACCCACATTGGATGTAGGAGGATTGATGTTGGGCATGGCTGGGATAGGAACCTCTATATCTTAATAGCATCGGGTGTATAAAAAGTAGTGTTGAGCGTGATATGTTGAAAGGAAACATAAAGTTCTAAGTTATTTGTATGTTGAAGTATGATGAATTATTTATTTGAATGGTGATATATGATATTTAAAGTTGTCTATGATGAGTATTGATGAAGCTGATTAAGTCGTAAGACATTGATGTTTTAAGGTTGATAGATGATGAAGTTGTATAAGTTGTATAATACTATAGTTGATTAAGTTGTTATGCATGTGGTGTTGATACATGTCTTTATTGAGATACATTAAAGGAGAGTAAAAATTATTTTAGAAATTAAAATATCTAATTGTGCAGATATAAGTTGTGGCACTCTAAGAGCCCAAGTTGAAACCCTTTAGTAAGTAACCTGACTTTTGAATGAGAAGTTATTTTAAGTTTTCTCCTTTGGGTTTTATATGGTATTCATATGTAAGCAAAGTTGAGACATATATGTATAAAACAACCAACCGAATAAAGTACAAGATTAGATACTTAGTCCCTAATTGAGTATTGAAGGGACGTAATATTTGGATGGTAGTCAATAAGCTAATCCCATAGGTTTCTTAGTGTTTGCAAGCTAATGTCTTTGTAGGCTCATACTAGACTTCTTAGTTTATGTGACGAAACCAGATAA